CAGATACCGGAAACGAAGATTTCTGTGTGTCAAGATAGTGGTCACAGAAGCTGTAAAATTACATTTCTTAACCCACCTTAATACAACTTCAGCAGGAATTCAGGTGAACAAGAAATGCAAAAATGCCACAGAATACAAGCTTTCGTATTGCATTGCGCTGTTGTGACTTCAATGCACTGAAACATTCTCGTTTGAATGTAGTTTGGTGGCTATAATCTCTCCCACATGGGTATGACATCCCAGTTTAACTCCACAACAGTTTACATGAATAAAGATGAAGATGTTCTGTATTTCGGTGTTTTGGAAGTAATTTTTTTAAATCGTGATCCTTGAAACGGATAATGGCAACCACAGTAATAAGGTTAATATTCATCAAAAGAAAGTAATTACTACGTTGAGATGTTTTAGGGCATTACATGAATTTTGAATATTAAGTGTTTTTGGTGTCCCTATATTTGACCATTCAGCATTGACCACGAGACATGACAAAATTCACTGTTGCATAAGCCTTACATCAGCGCAAGCTGATAGGGCACATAGTGAAAATTTGATTTAACTTGTCAAGTTTGCTAAAAATCAAGAAAGATAAAAAAAACACAAAAGAACCATCATGCCCTGCATATCATGAGCGGGTTTGCACCATCATGGGTATTCACAGCTAACAAATTCTGAACTGGTAAGATGTTACAGCCAAATGTATTCCCTCAGTGATAAGCCCCGACCCAAAAGATGAGTGAGCTTTACCAAGTCTGATGGGGATGTTCAAGTGTAATGATCTGGGCATGAGTAGTTATTACAGGACGTCGTATTAGGTAATTGATGGTAACCTTTACAACAACATCTCCAGCTAAGATGCCACTCAACAGTTGCCAAGACAAAACTGAGATGATGTGTGGCATTAGAACTCAGAGGCCAAGTTCTAGAAGAGTAATGGGACAAAATCCCATAAATCAGCATCTGCACCTTGATGCAAAGTACATATTACAAATGTATGGCCAATGGTGGCCATGCTCAGCAACAACCTGTGAGTTTTAAAAGCAACCCTGTCCCCTTCAATGAAAGTGAAAGAGAAATACCATCGGGTCTAGGCGATTCGGGTAGGCAATATATTGGGAGGGGTATACTAGTGTTGCCTTTGATGATGTACATTTAACATTAATAATTTGTTCACAAAAACAGAAATTTTTAGATACAGTGAGCTGATAAACGACCATGTAAGCAAGAATGTAAGATGTAAGAATGGCCTCCTCTCCGCTGGAGGCTCGCTGGTCTCACCTGCACCTTCTCCCGCTCTGCGTTCAGACTGTCCTGCAGCTCTTTCAGCTCCCTTTCCAGGTGTTCCACCCTCTGCCGGTACCGCAGCGTCTCCACCTGGGCCACCTCAAACCTGGTCTCGGCGATCTCCTTCTCGCGCCGCACAAACCTGAAACCGGCAAATCACCGCAAACATTACCCATAGGGGAATCCAAAACCTCGTCGATTGTCAAAGGGTGAGGGGGATCGCCCCCTGGGGGAGGTTTACCGGAGGATCTCCAGGATCTGCTCCTGGGACTTGCCCTCCTCGCTCAGAGAGATGTTGAGGTGGCTGTCCTGTGCCACGTGCTGCACAGAGGCCACCATCTTGTTGCCGATGCTTTCAACCTGTTCGTGCAGGAGGCTGTTCTGTTTCTGGAGATCGTCACAACGGGACGTCAGCTTAGTTAACTCATCCTAGAAGCAGAGAAAAAACCCTACTTAATTCTGCCTCCGTGACAAAATAGAACTCGCCCTTTCCTGAGGATTTTGGTTCCCAAACCATACGTGATGGATAGAAGTCAAAGAAAATGAAAGCCGATGAGAATGTACTTGGTGACTGTTTTAACGCATCAGTTAACCCAGCTCTCGCCTACCTTCAGCATTCTCTCCTGCTCCTCCCAGGAGACCTTGGCCTCCAGGAGCTGGGAACTGGCTTTCTGTGCCCGGTCTTCCAGCTGCTGGCGCATCTGAGAGGTCTGGGCCACTTGGTTTTTAGCAGCCTGGAGGGCCTCCACATCAGCCGCATGCAGCATCAACTCTCGCTCATACTTGTTCTGAGCCTCTGCAGCCAACTTACCCTGGAAAGAAGACCGACATCTTTCAGAAGAAAAATGGATGCAAAGATCAAGTCATTAAGCTGGAACTTTGGGAATGATTTCAAGCACTGGCTTAAAAGTCCCATCTTAACTAAAATGAAACAAGTGTCAATTAAGAACTATCTAAATGGGCAGAAAATATGCTTAACACAATTTACTACTTCCCCAGTAAAAGACAATGGATACCTATTTGCAGACTTTGCCATGTTGTTCAGGCTCTCCCTGCCTGGACGTCAATGCTACAATTCATGCTATTTGTGATGATGATGTGGAAGACCCCCCTCAGCTGCAGTATCTAAAAGGATGAAACAGACTCACCTGCTGCTGGCAGTCCTGCATAGCCTGCTGCTCATGGGTTGCTGCTACAGCTGCTCTCTGAAGAGCTTCCTGGAGCTCAGCCTGGATGTTGCTGAGGTTCTTCTTCAGATCATTCATCTAACAAATCAAATTAACAAGGGATTAATAAAATCCCAAGGGATAACAGATCATCTTAATGAAAGGAAACACACCTTTAGCACATGGGTGACAATCAGCTTTAACCTGTTGCTCGTCAAGTCTAGTGCTAACCAAGAAAGATAAAAATGCAAGAACCAATATGCCCTGTGTATCATAAAAACAATGCCTTTGTTTGCAGAATTTGCATTTCACAGCATGTGGCCAACTAGTAGATGTTCCTAGGTTGGGGATCCTGTTTCAGATCAGCAAACTGGACGGTCATTTTTAATTTGCAGTCAACGGTAACTAATCACCTGCTGCTCCAGATTCTCAATGGCTTTGCGTTTCTCTTCCTGCAGGTCCTGCTTCTCTTTCTCGGCTTCAACCAGCTTCTTCTCTAGCTGCACTTGGTACTCTTGAGACTCTTTCAGACGAATCTCAATAGTGGAACGAGCCTCTTCAGTCACCTTCCCAGACAGAAGTCACATAATTCTCAGTGAAAGCAATTAAAACAACAAAGTCACCACATGAATTAGAAAGAGAGACATTTTGCTATCTTGGTGCAGGGAATCGGCCCTCGTCTCCGAAAATAAGTGAATCACACCAACCTGTTTCTCCTTGCTCAAAGACTCCTCAAGGCTAAGTACCATGGCCCTGTACTGCTCCACGTTGCTAGTTGCATTTTTCAGCCGTTCTTTCAGGTCTCCGCTCTGCTCCTCCGCCTGCCTGAGGCGTCCACGCAGCTCCTCAAGATCTTGCTCCGAGCCCTGAGCACCTGTGACGAAAATGCAGGTTGAGCAGTGAAACCACTAATTTACAAATAATTCCTAAATGGACAAATGTAATTGGACGGACAAGCATGCTAAATTTTGACTGCAAAAAATGTGCCCTGCAGCTGGAATTCGACACTTTACAATTGAACAAAACTTGGATTTTCAAAACCAGATCCTATCACAATGGAGCCTGTCATGCACGGTACAAGTATGAAAATTCCACACTGAGAAATCCAGCACAAACGATTGTGGTTTACTGCAACTCCCTCTTCAGTTAGCAACATAATACATCACACTTAATAAAAACTGCTAATCAACGTGCCAGACTTACTGCCTTACATATAATCCTACACACATATGCTAGTCCATTCATCTAGCTCCAAATGTGCAAGTCTCTGCCAACAAAACTTTAGCATCTGATGTCAATTTTCATAATTCAGACCAAATCGAGGATTTCATTTCCTTATTTAAGGTATGTCCATGTCTAAATCAATCTAGGCAATTTTCTTGCATTGTGGTAGCATTGTACCTGAGGTGCCTGAGCCCTGTGATGCGTGTGAAGCCAGCTGGGTTTCAGCATTGCTGAGCTGCTGTCTCAAGGTGTTGATCTCTTGCTCAGCATTCTTCAGAAGCTCCTTGGTTTGTTGGTGCACGGCATTCTGAGTTTCCAGCTGCTTCTTAGCCTCCAGCAACTGCAGCTGTAACAGTAGAGAACAGGCCATCACACGATGCGAGACGCTCAAGGAAGCTCAGTGTGAAATGAATGGAAGGATCAATGACAGGCAGGCCCTTACATCTTGGTTTCTGCTGAGCAGGTGCCTCTGCTCCACTTCATGTTCTAGTTTTTTCTTCATCTGGGTGATTTCTCTCTCCAGCTTCTCAATCTGGTTATTGAGGCGCTGTTTCATCTCGGTGTCAGAGCGCTCCAGGGTCACCTTTGAGAAGCAATTGCGAGATAATGTCGTCATTGGCCGTATAAATATAGCTATACTGTTTATCCTACTCTTTAGTGAAGTATTGCAAACAACTTGTGTTTCAAATATATAGGAATATTATAAAGGAGTAAACATGACCAATTACCACAAATAGTAATACAAAATTTTCCCCAAACGGCTTTCATGCAGTACTTAAAGCAATGCCTCTCTTGATTACTGACCTTGAACCAAACAAATAAGACTTTCATATTGCATGCAAACAACACAGGGCAGCACTCCAACCACGCTCTTACCTGAATGGACTTCAGATTAGTCAGAAGCAGGTTTTGTCCTCTCTGTTCTGCCTGAATGGATTCCTTCTCCTGATTCAACCTCGACTCAACCAACTTCAACATGTCTCTCTCCTTTCTCAGGTTTTCACCTCTTACCTAAAGGACAGTTTAGATTCCAATCAAAGCACTGCAAGCATGTTTAACCCATGCATGATCACCCCATGGGAAGAGGAGATTTTGTCCAACTAAATTGCACCCTTACTTCTGCAAGAGCCAGTTTCTCATTGGCAGCTCTCAGATCCTGCGTCATAGTGTGGATGATCTGTTCTTGTTTCTGGGTGGTGGTCATCATTTTCTGACACTTGTCACGTAATGAAGCAATCTCCCGGCGATAACCATCCACGTTGTCCTGTAGCATTTCATAACTTTGCAGGGAAGCAAGAGAGCAATTACCAATCGTTTTTTTGTCATCACACGTTGATAGAAGTCTTTCCGACATAAAGCAATGTTGTGCTCGTAGTTCCAAAATCTAACACCTTTTGCACTACAATTTTCAACGCAGCTGGCGAGGACCAAAAGTTCCCTCAGGAAGGACATCCCACAACTATTTACTGAATCTTGATATCTGTTTGCTTACCGCTTGGATGCAAATTCCAGCTGGGTGGATATTTTGGCATTCTGGGAACGAAGCTCAGACATCTGCTCTTGCAGTTTTTCATTCTGCTCGTTAAGCATTTTATCATTTTCGGCTTTCTCCTTCTTGTATGTTACAAACACCTCTTGCAGCTGGGGAAAAAAAAAATTAACCTAGATCAAATTTCAAGTCAATTAGTCTCTGTCCTCTATCTGAATGCGTTCTGTTTTTCAATGGTTAAGAAAAGGGTGGCTTGTGGATTGCATACATAAAATGCAACCACCTTAGTGACAGTCATGAGAATCACATCCACTGGAAAAACATTTAATTTACTATAAATCTTTAAAACTTTAAACATTTACCACGCAACAAAATCATACCAAATAAGCAACCCTACACTATTACTCATTTTACTGATGCATTTATTCATATCAATACTACTCGACACGCTCAACTAAAATTTGGCGCACTACAATAAGCATAAAGTAATAACTAAGAGACAACTATTCTCAGACTGTAACCAGAATGTGCATCTTATTGACTTCAAGCATTATTAAACAATAGCAATAATTTTGTAGCATTTCCTAACGAAATGATCTTTTCTACCAGGCCAACCCACAAAAAAAGCAAAACATTTGAAAGAAAATATACTTAAATAAGGTACATTACCAGTAACAAATTGTGATCAAATTAAAAACTGACTAATTGCCTTATTGATTCCAATTAATTTTCACAGGTGAATGTTTTAAATGAAGAATAGTTTAAAATTCTTTATAGACAAGCAACAACAAATTTTCCCCATTTTTTCCCCTTTATAGGCTGGTGGTTCTTTCATTAGCATCTCCTAAAAACTGAGAACACTGTACTTAGAAATGGACTTAAGATTTTAAAAGTTATGCATAAAGTAAATGTATTAAAGGTCAGAGGAATAAACCCGTGCACAATACTGCCATCTAGTGGTACTTTACCACTTTTACAGTGCAGTTGGCTGGATCAAGTTTTTTTTAAATCACCTGTTTCAGTGCTGCCTTGGCTTCTATCACTTCAGCGGGCTCTGCTGTAGAGGCCTGTGCTGCAGTAGACACAGTGGGAGTGACCGCAGGGGAACGGCGAGGGGTGGACATCAGAGAAAGCTCTTCCTGCACAGTACCTGAAAGCCAGAGAGCAGATTTCAGTCGAAGGGCCTTTAGAACACATTATGCCATTGCGCAAAAAAGAGCTGAAAAATCAAATCTAGCTACGTCGAGATCCGCATAAAACAATTACAGTGGGATAAAAGCTGAAAACAAATCTCATTTCAGACTTAAAGGGAAGGTTAACTTCTTGTAGTAGCTCCCAAACACCTAATCAATAACTCTTTTATGAAATCAACTGACCAGAGAAAACTACTAATAAGGTTATGAAATTTACTCTCAAGTGGGCCACCACTGGCTCTTGCTCTGTTTGCAAGGCTGCTGTTCTGTGGAGATTAGCACGTTCTTTAAGCAAATGCACACGTGCATGACAAGCCACGTCCGTCATTCGCTAATGAAAACTAGCGGTGCCTGGTCTGCATCGTGCCGTCGTTGAGAAATAAACATTTTACGCAAAAGAACAGGTCAATGCAGTCACAAAATAGCGCAGCACAGGAATCAGGAAACCTTCAACGCCTTACCCTGCACAGGGAAGCTCACTCCAGTTGTCTGAGCCAGCAAGATGCGATACATGTCTCTCTGGCGTACGATCGACTCAACCAGCTGCATCTGGTGACTGCGGGCTTCTCGTAGCTGTTCCAGCTCCCTCTGGGCCTTGTCCAAACTCAGCTCTAGCTCCGTGACCCTATAAAGAATAAAAGTGTGATGTTTTCTCGGAGGAAAAAAAACAAACTAAAAGTGATTTTAATATGAAATAGATCTTTAAATGTTCATGTTTTGAGTTGACTTCAAAATACTCATCTATAAGGCCCTACATGGCTTAGCACCTCAGTACCCATCTGACTTATCGTCCTACTCCCTTATTTGCAACCTTCGCTCTTCTAATTCTGGTCTCCTGTCAGGTCCTTCTCCTGCTAATACCCAAAACTGGAATTCTATCCCTGAGGATATCGGAGAGCTCAGGGAAGGAGATTCTTTCTTTAGAAGGGATTTTATTTAACTGGTTCTGTGTCTGCCCCATCACTTTCCTACTCTATTCCAAACCCTTACTGGAATTTTGTAACCCCTGTTGTCACTTCTCACATTTTGAGGACCCACGTGTAAAAGCACTATATAAAAAGTTGTTAGGTTGAATGAGATTTTAAAGATGGGGGGGGAAGGTTTTACTTTCTGGTTCACAAAAACTAGTGGAAAGTGTTTGAAAACCTTTGAATTTTACCTGCCTTCGATCCTTTGATGCCAACAGGGTGACGAGCCAAACAAGCTCTTAAACCTACATGGGGAAATTTAACATGGTTGCCCAACAGTACCTGGAAGAGGTGGTCTCCATCTCCTCCTTTTCCCGTGCTTCACCAAGCTCTCTCAGAGCCACTAGGAGGCGCTGGTTTTGCTGCTGCAGCTCCTCGATGTTTCGGAAGGTGACCAGGCGCTGGGATATGACCTCGGAGGAACTGCTGATGTCAGCAGAGCTCACCTCCTCTTCCTCACGAACGACGTGATTCCCCCGGGCCTCCTCCAGCTCAATCAGCAACACGCGGATCTGCGGGAAGAGATGGGAGGAGTCAAGTTAAGGAACTAGAAACTTGAGATTTTTAGGCAGACTGTGCCTCATACTTCCGATCAACACACAGAACAGCTGACCTGCTGAGACATGTCTGTGAGCTGCAGCTCGAACCTCTGGTTGTCCCTCTCCAGGACAGAGGAGCGCTTGTTGGCCTCATCCGTTTCCTTTTGCAGCCTATGAATTTCCTAAAAAAAAAAGCTACATGTTAAGCAGTTATTAAACTAATAAAGATGTTCTACATTAAAAAAAAAAAGTCCCCCAAGGAGATGGCTAAACTTTTAACCCCTTTTTTTAAACCTTTTCACCAAGGTGGCTCTGTGGCTAAGGAACTGCGCCTGTAGCTAGAAGGTTGCCGGTTCGTATCCCACGGCCGGCAGAGGAATCCTACTCCGTTGGGCCCCTGAGCAAGGCCCTTAACCCCAACTGCTCCAGGGGCGCCGTATAAATGGCTGACCCTGCGCTCTGACCCCAAGCTTCTCTCCCTGTCTGTGTGTCTCATGGAGAGCAAGCTGGGATATGCAAGAAGACAAATCCCTAATACAAGAAACTGTATATGGCCAATAAAGTGATCTTATCGATCTCAACTTTTAAGGCCTTTTCCAGAGAGGAGAGCTCGAGTCTTACTCTCATGGCTTGCTCCAATTTGGCCGACAGACTGGCCACCGACTTCTGCATTCGCTCGTATTCCTCCCGCTGGCGTTTCAGAATGGGCGCTTTGGCTTCCACCTCCTTGACGATCTCATCCAGGTACTTGTTCAAACGCTTGGTCTCCAGTCTCTCCAGCTGAAGCTGGTCCTGTGATTCTATATATGCGTTGTACAGCTACAAGGACAGGCAGAACAAAGCTGAAAAACCATGTATACACTTCAAAACCGATGCAATGTAGGGCTGGTTTTCTTTTTATTGTGACTAGCTTAGGGTTATCGATCAATGTGTAATTGTATTCCCTAGCACTTCAAGAGTAATTACTCAGATTTTTTTTAGTTGCTGCTTATGAAGTACATGATCAAGATGCTACAATCGCAATTGTAATATCATAAGTTTCTTTACCAGTAAGAACAGGCCTCTACCTTCTAAAAAATGAAAAACTATAGGTGGAGGACAGCTTTCCATTACAACAATTTTATAAATCATACCTCAGTCAGTTTCATCCCAGGCTTCACTATTTTTGCCACTGCTGCAGCAGTAGGAGACATAGTTGTCAGCTCCTCTTCAGTAAGTGCTGCTACACCTGGAAAACAATGGTACTCTGTCTAGCAATTTTAAATATTTAAAATGTATGGGTCATAGGCAATGTTAACAGCACTGCTGTACTCAACCAGAGTCCTTTGTAAGACTTCACAGATACATCACCTTTTCGCTTGGCATTGGAGAGCAGATCATTAGCATTCTCTAGCTCTTTCTCCATATTTCTGATCTTGTCTTTCAGCTCTGCTTCAATCTTCTCTTTTGCATTCTCCGCTTCTAAAAGCCTCATTTCTGTGCATTTCTTTGCTGTATATAGAAACACACAAAGAGAAAACAGTTGATTTAACAGTTCATCCATCAAAATCTGCAAGCTATTTATCCAGGAAAGGACCGAGTCAAATCATAAAGCACAGGACACAAGGCTGAATTGATGGCATACAACTTTGTCTTCTCTGGGTGGGACACCACTCCATTACAGGACCATGGAAAAATAATTCAGTAAAACTACAACTAAAATGCCCTTGGCAGTTTGGTGGGGAATAGAAAAACCAAACCGACAATGAGAGAACATTTCAAACTCCACACAGTTGCTCAAGGTCAGATTCAAGCCCAGGACTCTGGTGTGACAGCAGGATGCCCCCAGAAAACGTCTTCGGTTTCATTTAACGTTACAAATAAGGCAAAGACTCCCGTAAAGAGCAATTACTCACCTTCTCCCACTTCCTTCAGTAACTTGTGAAGTTCCTCCACAGCCTTGTTGAGCTCCTCACTTTTAGAGTCTGAATCTGCTGCTGCACTCTACACACAAAGCAATAAAACTGAAACAACTTCTCAAAACATCCATTTTTTAATGACTTAAGACCGTTTTACACTTACACTCTACTAGAATCATGTTAAGCTTTGTAAGCTTGAGAAAAAAAAAATAAAGTACATAAATAGGTTAAGGGCCTGAATCAATTCAGCCAATTAACATGACAAAATCTAAACAATTTTCAGCATTTTCCATGTCATATGTATACAGTTCATCTAAAATGAAATTCCACATTGATCATGAAACAAAGTTGAGCTATGATCAGTTAATGCCCCACAAACGTTTTTTTTATTTTCCAAAGCAGGAGGGTACAGTCCATAAATAGTTAATGCAACATTCACATTTGGACAAGATTCACTTTTTTATTAATCTCCCCCCACTCCTTTCATTAACTTTGGAGTTTTTCTGAGCATACTGTGCTTTATGGCAACACATCCCAGGACCAGCTTCAGCTGGGGAGACTGGAGACCAAGCGTTTGAACAATTTCATTTTAATAGATCCTGCTAAGAAATGTAAAAACTTAAATAAGTGGACCTGCCTTGTACAAATTGGACAGCTTTATGTGGGCATTCAGTTCATGGCCAAACTTCTCCTCCATGCTGGCCTGCTGCTCCTTTGCCTATAGAAGAAGACAGTGTTACACTGGTCGGTGTTAGGTCTCCAGCTCAAATAGTAAAATTCATACCACAAAGAAAAAATGACCTCTTTCAATTTCATCATCAAGTCCTCTGCTTGCTTTTGAAAGTTTTCGTTTGACGATTTCAGACTGTTCACTTGTTCTTGAAGTCTTGTAACCTGAAAAGCAATAAAGTAATTAAGAGACCAGCAGCCTGCATCTCGGTTTTAGGACACGCAGGGCAACATCAGTATTAACTTAAAACCAGATTAATAACAACTGACATGCTTAACTAAAATTACTCCTAGGCTGAGGAATAACAGAACCAAGCCAAATGGGTGAGTTGTACTTATATCGCTCTAAGCAAAGGCATTACTTTGTAGAAGGCCAAACTGCACTTTAGTATAGTATTAACACAATTTTGGGATGCATAACTATAAACCTTCTCAATGAATGAAGAATGCACTTGAGAAGTAGCTGCACCTAATCAAAAGAGTGGATTTTTCACACCAGCCAAAGCTGGAACAAATCAAGTATTAATTTTGTTTAAATTATGTGTTTACAGTTTCAGGTGTTTATAACAGAAACCTGAAGTGCAAGAGTATTGTTTCTTAACCCTTGCAGGACCAGACCACAACATATAATCTGCCTAATAAAGCATATAAAACAAACCTCCTCCTTTTTATTCTCCAGGTTGCATTTGAGCTCCAGAACTTCATTGCCTTTCTCTCGGGAGACAGAGAGCAGCTCGTCAGTCTTGGCCTTCAGCTCTGTGTTCAGCCAAGAGTTCTGACTCTGTAGGAGCTCTTTCTCCTGCTCCATCCTCTTTTCCCGGTACTAAAACAAAAACAGAAAACAACTTTGTGTTGTTGTCCTACTCAGAGTCTATTTAGAACATGACCAACCTGTAATATTCCAAAGATGCAGTTTTCTTAGTGGTTGTGACTCCACAGATTCACAACAGCCTCTGGCAGATAAATACCGTTTACCAAATTTACAGTTTCCAGGCAACCACTTCAACTTTTGGTTTAATCTCAATGTTACAAGTTTCACTGACAGACTCCTAAAGCTGTATTAACCTCACCTTGATTGAAACCTCCGAAGACTGAAGCTCATCAAGCTTTAACTGGAACTCCATCTTTGCAGTATTCGTCTCCACAAGCTTGTCATTGAGACGTTTAAGGTCCTCTGTTAAAGAAAGATGACATTTTTAAGTGTCTGTTGCATAAAAAGAAAAACGATGGTAGATCTGAACTTAACACCGAAGGACTCCAATTTGTAGAACATGTTGCACTGCCCTTTTTTTGAGAGCTTTGCTGAGGAGCACAAATATTTAAAATTTCACAACGTGAAAAGACTCCAGTACATCTCACTCAGCCCCTCTTGTGGCCTTTTACTCTCAAAACAACTCACCTTTATTCTGAAACTCCAAGACAACCAGATTCCCTTAATACAAGTCGCCAAACAAAAACTAGACTTCTGAGCCCTAAGATTTCAAGCAACAGTGTCAAGAAAAACCCCATCTAAACTGCATAACACAATTCATCATAACGACAGCAGCTATGCAAATTAGGCTGTCTTAAAAGATTCCTTCAAGGTCAGAGGCTTTGTGGCACAACCCAGATTTTCATACCACTTAGATGCTCCACTTCCTGGGACCTTTTCTCCAGTGTTCGGACCAACTCTCGTTTTTCAGCCTCCAGTTCATCTTTGACTTTGGTGAGGTGAGCCTGAAATTAAACAGAAGACGGTGGTTCTGTGATGCCTGCTCACAAGCAAAAAGTGCCCCTTTTAAGTTTCAGATGAAATGATATACAAAATCCAAAGAAAAGGCATTTCAGAACAAGTAACTAAAATGTCTGTATCCAAAATGTATTTTGATATTCACCTGCTGTGCAGAAAATCTCTCTTCTGAGGACTCATATTCTCTCTTTTGCTCTTGCAGGGTCTTCAGCTCTGCACCTAGAAATTGAACACAGAAAATTTAGTTTAGAGGGGCCACATGCCCTACTTGTAATGTGAATGAGTCTTTACATGGCAAGCTTCGAGCAGTAGCCAAAGGTTCATCCAAAAAAAAAGAGGATTCTTCAAAAAGATAATTTACCACATGGCCTGAATCACAAACTATACACCCTGTGCAGGAACAAGCATGAACAAAGATCCTTAGAGTTAGTTTCCAAACATTTTTGACAGTAGCCTACCATTTACAACAGCATGCTCAAAGGCATGGACTACATTCGTATCTGGGTGAAAACTATAGTACTGTCACATTTACTATAAAGTGATTGCAATCCGTGTACGTACTGAGCTTGGTGAACTCCTCCTGGAGATTTTGGCGTTCCTGAGTCTCTGATACGAGTTTCTCCTGGCTCTGAGCCAGTCGCTTCTCCACTTCAAAGTACTGCTGCTCTGTAAAGATTAGAGAATAGCCTGCATCAATCTTGATTGCACTGCTGTAAGAAAAGCTTTTAATATTAATGAATGATTAAGCACTGTTTAACTCCTAAATCTGTGCAAAATCATTCAATAACTGCTTATATTACAAGACAATCCTGTAACTTAACCTGACAAACAGTTTTGCAAAAGTTTAGGGTACAGGTATGTTGTTAAACATAGGTTATTTATATTTGCATAAAAAGTCTGACAAATCAATGATTTATACCTGGTAGATAATCGTCCCCATTCTTTAAATTACAAATTAACCACTACAGCCTGAAACGGGGCAAATTCACGTTCAAGATCAGTTGCTCAGATGGGGTTAACATTGCAGTTTACAGACGCAACAAACTCGTAATTCAATATTCAAAGTATGAAGATCAAATACTACAGATGGGGGATTTCCTCCAAATTCACAGTTTGTAAATCAACAAAAAAAAGACAGAAATGGAAAACTCAACCTTCCAAAAGGAATCAGACAACATCCTTTTTTTGAGGTCTGAAAAGCCAGGTGCCAAAGGCCTGTTGTTTGCCTCCTCTCGGCAGCCATATTAAAATATATGAATAAACACGCAGCTGGAGAAATGGGCCCTATACCAAAGTCAGTTCAAACATTAAGGAAAGCGATGTTCACAACTGCGCACTTATAATCATATGCTCTCAAAATCCAAAGTCTGCGATCGGAATGAAACGCGAGATCTCCCTGCGTCTCCAGAGCAGGCATGACGAAAGATTAAACATGAACGTTTCCCAAACATCTTACCACTGTCTACTTTAAATCGCTCGTGGTGGGATTTGAGGGCATCTATTTCAGACTGCTGGTCTGACAAGAACTTCTCGAGCTTGTTTTGGACGGCTTTGGAGAGCTTGGCCAGCTCAGGCCGTTCCAGCATCTGCTGCAGAATCGCCGCCATCTTTAACCCCCTCAAGTCTCAATTCGGGCGAAAGCTCTTGGAAAATACCGCCTATCTCCCCACTCTCTCACATAGATATATATAAAAAGTCCTAGGTAGGCCGGGGCTTGTCGTCATTTCCGTAAGTAAATTGCATCGCCACCTAGGTAAAGAAAAGTGTAGTTGCAATTATTCTTCTCCTTGTAATGTCTGACAGAAGATACGTTTCTTTTTTCACGACATATTAAAGGTCATAAGTAGTTACAATTTAAAGAGAAAAATATATAAATGTGTTTTTTAGAGGAAGATGTGCATGCATAACGATGAACCTCCAGACGTCTTGGGCTTTTTACGTTTATCCACAGCATTTTCATTTAATTCATCTTAAATATTTATACTTTTTTTTTCCTGTGCAGCTAGCGCATAGTTTAATAAGAGTGTAGCATTTTAGTTAAGTCCTCCGAAGAAGGACGTCATAATCAAGCAACGCAAAATGGCCAACCAGCGGTTGCTGGCTTTGTGACGTTCATTCCTAGGAAAAAAAAAAGCTGTTTTGGGTGGTCTTACCAAGCAGAAGTGAAGCGTGCAGGTATGAGTTTCTGATGTTAACATATAGTTGAGACAGTCGTGGACAGGCAATTGAATGTTGGAAAGTTAGAAATTTATGTATGCATATTACATGGGCATGATTTGCAGTGCCTTCTATTTTTACTCTTTAGCTACAGAAGGAGTATAATGATCGCAGTACACGTTTCAAATTTAAAAGTAGCTAAATTTTAAGTTACGGGTTTTGAGAAAAGCAATATTCGGGCTGTTTATTTACACCCGTATGTTATGATTGGGTGTGTGCGTGTTGAAATTGGAGAATAAAGCGTGTGCCTTCTCAAAAAATAAGATATTTTATGTGTGTAGGATATTTGCGATCTGTTGTACAGAATTCCCGTATAATATTTACATTTTGCATTAAACAATCCACCTTAATTTGAAGGGAAATGTATAATACTGCAAGGATTAAAGTCCCGGATTCTTTAAGAAGTACTTGACCAAAGTGATGACGTGTAACTCCTGCGCTGCTCTGAATCAGCTGCTGTAACCCGCACATGATCGATAAGTAAGGATTCAGCAGTCTGTTCGTAAATACACTGTGCTTCTTGGGATTCGCATAATACCCATCTGTTTCAGCTAGCGCTTTTGTCCAGAGCGACTTATAATAGTGTCACAGTTTGCTGAATCAATCTAAGTGAAGTACCATTTTACTGATATGTCATTTTTGCTTTTCCCCCTTAGAAGACAAGTAATGATAAATCTCTCAGGATGGGGAGAAGTTACTTTGTGGAGGACGTGGTAGAAAAGTACATTCTGAACCTTGTCACTGCAGAAAAAGCCTTCACAACCGGTCTCTTAATTGGGCAGGTGAGGTTCCTTCGTATGAGTGGGCTTTTTTAAGAAGCGAAGCATAAAACTAAAATAGTTTTACCATTAGACATCTCCAAAGTAAATCCAATAAATGTAGAGATTTTTGTGTAATGTAAACTTATCATCTTTAAAAGAGAACTAGATATGTTTAGTGTGACAGTGCACTCCATAAACAATAAGCTCAGTACATTCAAAATAAAACTATTAGTTGATGCTTTACTAATACTTTATTTTTCTTTGCATTTAGTGTTCTCCACAGAGGGACTTTGTAGTGCTTGCAGTTCAAACGGCCCAGAGAGAAGAGCAATTTAACCAGCCCAAACAGAGTAAAGTATCACTAGTGGACATTGATGAAGACTGGGTCATTGGGCATGCTCGGCAGGTGTGTGATTTAATGACTTTGCCAAGAAAAATTCACATCATAATGAAAGCAGGTGGAACTGAAGTATATATCTGGTATTGCAACAAATAGACTTAAAGGCGTTAAAGGCGCAACGAATGATTGTAAGAAGCAGTAGCATTTCTACTGCCTATATGACAACAGATGTCAAAGTCAATGTTAAAACGGGTCAACAGTGGAATAATAAATATACACCGATACGGAGCTTAATAAAATATAATTGTTTCATTTGATTTATGCGGCTACCAAGAATGAATCATCTCTGTGACTCTGTTTCCTTTAGTCAACGTATACTGTTTATGAAAATCTTTTTAAGGAAATTTGAGAAATCCCCCCCCCAGTTGATCTCTTTGTTTTAATGTCTCGTGGTGCTGAACAGGTTTCCCGAATGTTGCCTGGGGGGCTGGAGGTCCTTGGTGTGTTTCTGATCGCCTCGCCTGAACTGTCCAAGGAGTCGCAGAATACACTGCGGAGGGTGAGTGACGCCATAAGAAATTGAGTATATGCTTTTTAAAATAATGTATTTACAGGAGCCCCTGAGTCAGGCCCATGACTGAAACACACATTGAGCGTTATGGCCCAGATCCATACTGTATGTAACTTGAGCCTTGACTAGCTCCACTTCTCATACAACACATATTAGAGAGAGAAAAACTATCAATTTTATATTTAGATTCATAAATGATTTATCTTCATTTCAGTTATTATTTTTCTGTTTCTGTTTCAGAATTCAGTGATACTCTGCTGTTTGGTCGTTTGGTCTAAATGTACGACATTAAAGTAATATGTTGTTCTCCAAGCCCACGCGATAGATGTTGGTTCCAAGCAAGCGTTACTTCATTCATTGAATTTAACAGTTCCAAGCAACAGTATGTAAAGTGGAAGAACAAAGTTTGTTACATTGCAAATGAAATAGAAAACGTTGCAAGTGATTCTAAAATTACCATATCCAGTTTTAGATACTTTTTGTGTTTCCCCAAGATTATCATGTTCAGTATTCCCGGTTGCTCAGACAATTCACTTTGATCATTGTGTGCATAATTAGAGGGGAAACTGGCCAAGTCTAAAACAATGAGCTATTCTGTAAGTAAGAATTCCATTGTACTAGTACATGTACCGGTTACATATGGCTAAAAAGTTCAAATTAATCCGAAGTGGCTACAATAAAAAAAAAGGTCATTCTGAATTGGATAGAAAAGAGAAAATCGTGTATTAACAGTTGTACCTGTGAGAAAATCATTTAGCCATATGAGCTTATTTTTTCTTCCTTAGTTGGTATTTGCAGTGGAGAAGTCCGTAGTGAAGGGAAGGCTTTGGAAGCTATCAGAGGATGATGTCTCAGAAAGAGTGACTCTTCACATCTGCTCGAAGACGAGGAAGTATCCTTTAGAACAGTGTGTGAGGTTGACAATGCAGACATTCTCCTGTACATAGGAGCAGTATCATTAATCAAAAACCTTGATGTAGGAAGATGAATCTGAATCCGACCTCACATTTTAGGCTAATTCTTAAATATTAATGCAATCATAAAAAATACAAAGCAGTGATTATGATGTAGTTTGCCATGTCAACTTATGTTACTTGTAACCATCTAACGTATTTGCACTTGTGTACTTGGAGGTGCGGGACTTCCTAATGTGTTTCTGTTGTAAGTTTCTGTCTGCAAAACCATGATGTAAGGTTAATGTATCTATTACAGATGTTTATATGAAGCAGACACATTATTTTCAGTAGCTCTGACATTTGTCCTGATATTAATGTCACCTAAAGCTTCATAATTTTCCTTGACTTGGTGAACCAAGAGTGACATGTCGGACTTTCGATGTGCAAGACCCCAAGGTGATATTAAAGAGAATTTAAATGATATTGCTTTGAGAAATGCAACCTTAACCGTACCCTACATAAAACAAGTACTAACTAAAACATCTACTAGACCTAACCTAACCTTAGACCTCATGATGACCCTAAACCTAATCAGTTAATTGTAGTGTAAAATGTGTTCTTACCATAGTTCCAAACCCTAATTTACCCTGTCACTAGACTTGATTTTAATGCTATCCTTAGCTCTTATCCTCAAATATGTAACCATGTTTAACATTTTCCATTAACTCCTGGCTTAATTCTGCATCCTTTTATACAAAAGCAGTGACGAAAACAGCTTTTACGAACTTCTGTGAAGTTATTCCATTGAAGAATGAATGCTTATTAAGAATCTTTGTCGTCGTTATATCTTTACTTGTCACTTCTTAATGATGCCCTGAAGAGCTCTGCTAAGCCAGCAGACTGGAAGTACCAGCCAGGACTCTCATCCTCATGGTCCGTCCTACAGTGCAGTGTTAAGATAGACCTACACATCCCAGTGCCAGAAGGGTCCTCTGTGAAAAATCTGGACAAATATGTGAAGGTAATATTTGTGTTATTTTATTTCCTCATATGTAAATCCAAAGGAATGCAGGTGTTGCAAGAATGGGGAGAACAGGCTTCTTGTTTATAGTTCTCTTTTGTATGTAGGATTACCAGAGCAAAATAAATAATTTGATCTATGTTTTTATTTTTTCTACTATTCGGAATGAAGCATCACAACTTATTTTTATCATCTTCAGAATCAATAAGGAACAGAACAAGAGGTAAACAATATAAGAAGATCATGAGAAAGGTTAAAAAAGAAAAGAGGCCATGTGGCAATTCAAGCCTATCCATTTGCAAGTAGTTAATTGCACAGAGGCTCAGCCATTTCTTGAAGAAAGCCTGAGTATCAGCTTCCACCACATACATAGCTGGGCAGCTTCTTCAATACTCCCTCAACCCTGTGGGTATAAAGGGATCTGTCACTAGCTTTAGTTGCACTCCCACACAGTTTCAACTTTTGTCACCTGGGTCTTGTTTCACTTCCTATTTTGTCAGAACATTTGACAATTTTAAATACTTAGATTACTTACAATTATAGTATTCTGTGTTCAGGACTTTATAGGTTTAGTAATTTTAGTTTAGGACATTCCTTTATTCTGAAAATTTGGTAAGAAAGTAGTCATTAACCTTGTCTACCATTTCAGTTTCTCCTGCAGACATTCAAGCTGGTTTTCCCAGTCTTTGTGAGGAAATTAGAGTCTCCCATGATAACGACCTCTTACTGTACACACATTTAATTTCATTACACAGTGTATTAATTCATATCTGGATTTGTTGGTGTGTAACACACTCCTTTTGCTATACATGATGTTGTGAGGTGAGCATACTCTTATCATTCTGATGTCTGAGCCAAATAGATTCTGGGACCCTTGGTTCCTCTAGTTCAAGTTCCAATACACGTTTTTATCTTTACAGAACAGGCTTCAGAAATGGGCTAATCTAGTAGAAGACAGTGTTATTCTAATCAATGGCCATGTCAGACCAAATGACAAAGAATTCACAGAGGGTCAGGTAAGTGATTGGATGTCTGCTTTGATGCATATAACCTTTGTTATTGCATGCCTTTTTAGTTTATTTTCAAAATAGCTTATGATGTTCTAGAGGTGCTGTCGTTAATTCTAATGATTTGTGTTTGATTTTATTATTGCTTTACACAAAGTCGACACAAAGTTGACTTTATTGCCAAACCAAGCCTTCAGGTTGTTACGAATTTTTTGTGTTGTGCTTGAAGTAACATACAAGATACAACTAAGGTACAAAAAAAAAGACAGATACAGAGAAGAGAAAAAATCATAAATAACATACACATATCATGTACAAAAAACAATACAATGCTACAGTAAAGATAGCATACAGAAATGTACGAATAAATACTTTTATAACAGTGTTTAGTTAAGAGAAACAAATACAACTTTGTCATGCAAGTTTAGTAGATCCACTTTTCTGTTGCTGGACACACATATTTTCCACAATATGTTTATTGTTCCTGTTGTCTACATTGTGTAGTGTTGTCTGTTGTACTGTGTCTGTCCCGAGAGATCAACGCGATTAAGAATTCCAATATACGTGTACATATGTCAATAAACTACTCCACTCTCTATTCTATTGCTCAAAATAACAAAACAAAAAAACAGACAGTGCAACAGCCAAAGGACAGCACCCACTGACCCTTCTCTGCCTTTTAACCTTTTTCAGAAAAAGACCACACGGGGCTCTGGAACACAGCAGAACTTCAATGTTCAGCTTTTGATGCCCTTAGTAAGTTTCCTGTTTTGTTCTTACTTGTGAAATGCTTGTGTTTTCAAAAACACTTTTCCCAGTAACCCTGTAAATCTCAATATATGGGTAGAATTAAGGGTTTTAGCTCGGCTGCAGAGTCATTACACGCTGTCCGCGCATCGGGTGTCGTACTGTTAGATGAGAGTGTTATGACAATATGGAGTCCTGTAGTGGGAGGTCAGACTTTTGGCTAGTGCAGACTTTGAAGCTTAAGTGCTGAATGCAGCCTGGGAGACAATACCGGATATGACGGCACTCTGAATTAGCACTATTAATAAAACTATGAATAGTGTAGTTAATAATGCTGATAAATGATAATTAAAGCACCTTTAACAGTTATACAAAGGCTGGCTGCTCAGTAGATTCCTGAGCTTAAATCACTGCTGAATGGCTAGAAATATTTGCCTTATCTTTCAAAAACAGCTGCAGTAATAACTGTAATAATTCTAAGAAAAGTGTATGAAAAACCTGAAAAGTGATGGTGCATTGAGTCCCTCTACATTAGCTCTTGTACAATCCTGTGTTAAGAGCAGTGAAATGATTTACTTGTTTGTATTTCGCTTCCAAGACAGGAGACTCATCAAATGAGAGGCTGACTGCCTTGGTGGAAGTCTGCAGTGAATCCATTCAGTTGAATGGGGTCGTGCACTGTAAAGCATACATTCACAGCAACAAACCAAAAGTGAAAAATGCAATTCAGGTGAGTGATGCAGAATCTAGTTCCCACTCTCACAGGCTTACAAGCAAGGCTAAGAAAAGAACCTCTTATTGCCTAGTAGTAACTCCTGTTTAAGAAGGCATTTTGATGTAAGGTGTCTCTTATACAAACAGGCTTTAAAGAGGGATGTGCTGAATACGGTTTCAGTCCGAACAGAGATGCTCTTTGAAGATATCCTCCTGAATGAAGACGAGAGCACAAGTAAAGGTAAGTACTGAGTCAGTTTTCATTCTTGGTCACTTGTTTTTTGCTTTGCTTTTTTATCCAGTTCAATTCAGTAGATGGGTTTGCAGTCCCTTATTTGACTTGAAAAGCATTCCCATGGTAAGATCAACCTAACATCTGTAGGTGTTTGCTGGGTGCTTCAGGTTCTTCCCAACTTATAAACATGTGGACCCTGAATTGGAAGGTTGTAGATTCGAATCCAGGGGAGGCACCCCAGTTGTAAAATGTAAGTTACTGTGCATAAAACCATCAGCCAGATACTTTAGTAATAACATGAAACTTTTTCCTGGGGCTAGTAACTTCTCTTTTTAAAATTGACACATTTTTTAGCTTCCCCAGCTGTCTCTTTGTATAGAACATCTGAGGATTTTTAAGTTGTAGTCCAAAGAGATCTTTTTTAACACTTCCTCACTCACCTTTCTGTTTGAAAAGCTGCTGTGTATGGCTTTGTCACTAGATGGCGCACTTGATCTATGTTGTTGTAGAGCATTTTGTCCTGCGTGTGGAGAAGCACTCACTTCTTGATTGCTTTGATTAACCTAAGTCATTATAAAATGAGGGCGGCACGGTGTCGCAGTGGTTAGCACTGTTGCCTAGCGGCACTTGGGCTCCGGGTTCAGTTCCAGACCTTGGGTGCTATATGCATGTAGAATCGTATTTTCTCCCCATGTTCGTGTGAATTTCCTTGTGGTGCTCCGCTTTCCTCCCACAGTCCAAAAACATTAGTTATTAGTACTGTAGGTAAATTGACTTCTGGGAAATTTGGCCCTAGGTGTGAGCGTGTGTGTGTATGCCCTGCCATGGACTGGTGTTCTTTCCAGGGGGTACCCTGCCTTGCACCTGTTGCTTGCTGGGATAGACTGCAGCTCCCCCACAACGCTGATTTTGAAGAAACACTTAGAAAAGAGATGGATGGAGGGAATGACGAATAGGTTACACTACAATACCAGAACATTTAAGAAAACAATTTTTTTATCTTCCGAAACATGTTCTTGTAAGAGCAAGAAGGGCAAAAACATAAAGGGAGACTTACATTTTTATGGCTTCCTGTTTTTTTTTTCAAACAGTAAGTAAACTGATATGACTTACATGCCAATCCTCCTTGCATGTAAGCCATATCAATTTACATCTGTTTATGTGGGGAACTGCAAGCCTGCAGATAGTGGAGATCCCTTCCTTTGTGCTACCTATAAACTTTTCTGAGTTGATCTTGTACATGTGGTTTTTGTGTTGATGTATGGATCCGTCATGCAATTAAACATGCGTTGACTTTCTCGAAATCATCTCCACGAAGAATGAAAATAAATTACAATCCCCTGTTGTCCTTTCACTTCTCTGTAGTAATTAGCAGGGACCGTCACGATTTTCCACGGAGGGTGTATGCTCAAGTCCCTGGCTGCAGTGTCTGTATGTGTGACTACATATTCCCGGATGAGGCAGTGGCAGACCTGCAGGAACACTTCAGAGAGATTCTGGACTGTGACATAGAGGAAGAACAGATAGATGTGACCCAGGAAGCAATTGAAGGTGACTATCTTAATACTAAGTCAATTTCTAAAGGGTGGGACGATCAATGATGAAAATTGCACTGTATGAAAATGGACAGACTCTTTTTAGTTTACTCTGAGATTAATTTATTTTTTTATAAACTATGAGTATATATACACATACTTACAAAATGGGGGGGAAAAAGGCACTTTCACTGTGCTTGCACCTACCAATTTATTTTTTTGTTTTAAAATAACGCATTCATTATAAATAGAATTTTCCTAAAAAAAATGGAATGCATGTATCAAAGTGAATTCCTAATTCTGATAGGGCGCCTTAATAGAAAGGATGCAAGTTACTTTTATGGCATATGAAGAAACTTCACAAGTGTTTCTTAATGCTTATGCTTAGGTCTAGTAATGATAAGGTTTTAGTAGGTGATTGCTGGATTGCTTGTCAGTTTATAAAGAATTTTTAATCTTGTAGTTCTTTATCTGATCAAAGGCCTTAGTGGCATGCATGTTTTTTTTAATTTTATTGCCATGTTTTTATAGATTTCTAAAAACGAATATAACACTAGTGAGAAACATAAAACTTTTGTTTACGATTTGTGCAATGCCTGACATTAAAACAGATATCTTTTAAATTAATCACTGGTTAGCCTGTGATTAGATGTTTTTGTAAGATGAGTTTTTAAACATTTCTAGGAATTGTGGGTGTTGAATCGTAGAGACGATGGGGTTACATTTTTTGCTTACTGTCAGTTTAGCTTCTATTTCCCGAAACATAAAGGATGAACTGTTCTCATAAAAGTATATATTCCTGCCAAAAAAAGTTTTTTTTATAATGCTGGAAAGCGTACCTCCTACTAGATGAAATTTGCACACCAATTAAATTACGTTTTTACTTTGGTTATAATATCTATTCCTTTTCAGATCAACCTGATTTAATTTTTGAATTACTTTTGAAACTCAGCTGTTTAAATTGTTCTGTTTAGCCTCCATCGGTATTGATGATTTTCCTTCTTATGTTTTATGTTTCTTTTCAAGCAGACTTTGCTTTTCCCTGCTGCTCCTCAGTGCCGAAGGGTTATGGAAATTCTCATTTTTAATTCACAACCTTTGGTTCAATACCTTTTACTCAACATTTGCCACTTGCCAATCAAAACTGCAACTCAGAATCAAAATGATCATTTTTAACATACATTTTCTTTTTAGGCAAAGCTCTAAAATATTTAACATCAAAGCAAAAAAGTATTTAAACAATGGCGGGACTAGTGGAATGAGGCAAAAAAAACTATGCAAGAGAAGAACTCAGAAACAACTCCAAGAACAGGCTAATCCATAAATTCCACACATGTATTCAGTAGTAGGTCTGAACAAGTTCTAAAATTTGTAGATAAAAAGTTCGTTTCTTCATTAGGCAGTCTACTGCATACATCTGCACATACTCCATGAACTGAGTAGCCTGTTTCATCACTTTATTGTTACCATAGATTTAGTGGAATGAAGCAAGCTTTTGTGAAAGGTAACATTAGTGCTTAGATGTGGCCCTAGCACGACAGGGATGTTTTCTTTGTAGGTGGGTGTTTCTCCAGCAGAAAACCATATTAAAAATTGACTTAAAACGATATTGACTCCTGGCGTGGAGTCCTACAGCACCTCTTAAAAAAGTCTCAGGTGTGCTTACATCATCGACAGATTTGCATTTATCATGAAAACACCCAGCTCGTATTTTCTTGGTGATGAAGTTACAGTATCCAAATACTCCTTGTCTAAACCAGTTAAGACATAATGTTTGTGTGATACAAGGTGATTAACTAACCTGGAATTTGTATAATAGGTTACAGAAACAACTAAAATATAATCAGTATCTCGAGGCAACGGATATTATATATCCGTGGTTAGATGAAGAAATGTACTTTTCGGCTGTGTTAATGTACCCCCACTCGTTTCCATTAACACTGTGCCTTTGATGGGTGGTTCATAAAACTGAAGAAATAGTGTAGTGTATGGCATGGGTGATCGAAGACTGGATGGCTGCAGATGGCTGCAGTTTGTCCTGTAGTTGACATCTTTTTAAGAGACCCTAAGAAGAAAGACTTATGACGCAGAAGAGTTGACACTCTGAGAAATAAAAGCTATTAACTTCATACGTTGTCAACCTGAGCTGTGTTATATGTTCTGATCTCCTTTAGTTAATCCCTAGAGCAATGGTCTGTCAGAGCCCTCGCTGTAATGTATTGTGTGTACAGTGATCCACTGCAAGATATTAAAAGCCAGCGATGTTCTTTAGTTAGAAATACCTGGAAGTATTGCTTTACTATGCCCCTGTGTTGGTATTGATGTACTGTACACTTTTCCAGTCAACCCAATTGCACAATGATTTTATTTCACACACAATAATAGTTACAGATAAAAGACATAGAAAGTCAGCAAAGTCTATTTCCACATAAACCTGAGAAGAGCCTTGTGTGAACCTATAAATAGTGTCATGAAATCTATTTATTTTCTACAACTGTTAAATTGACTTTAGGAAATGGCAAATAGCTTTGTTTTGGTACTGTTAGGTAGAAGCATAAATTCACATCACTAACGGAGATTTGATATATATAATTTATAATGCCAATGTTCTTTCTGTCTCTTAGCTTACTCAAATGTAAATTCAGATGCTGTCCTTGAGGGAAACTTTCCACAAGTGGAAGACTGTAGAGCACCCACTAACCACACAAACATTCAGCGAAATATCGGTATGTATGTGTAGTAATTCTGTTCTCCTTGAGTAAATATTGTTCTGGCTTATTAAAGTGGACTAAGATGCATTTAGTACTACTAGGCCTATTAATTTAGACTTTGTGGTTCTCATTTTACACCTACATGTCCTCCATGATTGTGAAATATGTCATTAACCTCAGCTTTTTGTCAGTCATTCCATAATTTGTGAAGATTATTCACCCACAGTCTTTCAAGTGCTTTTAATCTTACCTCGAGGGCACTGAAAACTCATTTGATGATTATTGAAAATAGGATATTTTGCTAGTTACCTTGAAAACCTCCCATCCCCTCCTCTTTGATGTTGTGGTTTCAACGAGGCAAATGTGATTGATGATAATTCAATGTATATCAATACTGTTCAAAGGGTATGTGAGTGCAAGATCTAAAATGTCTTGGGGAAGTTACACACCTGCAACTGCAAATCTGGGAGGGCTTTTTTTTCCTTTCTAAATGCTGTATCTTGGATACCACTTGACTAAATAAAGCCAAAGCGGTTTGCGTGACAAAAGGGCCGACCATAATCTGCTTCAGCCTTTCTTCTGTTCAAGAGGGGTGTAATTTGTGTTATTGATCAATTCCTCAAATATTTCCACTCCCTCTATTTGTCTTTACTCTCCAAATTCCGGTACTCATTTCCCATTTCTTTTGTCCTTATTTTAGGTGTGGTGATGGCCGTTGGAATGGCGCTCCTTGCCACAGCCTTTTCACTGTTTTATTTTAGTGATTGAACATTCAAATAAACTCTGGGGGACACCTAAGTGACATTCTTGGCATCATTCTTTGAGAAAGAATGTGAGGTCTGAGTGGCTGAGACCTCTGTGCGTTTTGTTTCTTTCTTTGTTTCTGAAGAGGAACGATGGAGGGCTTTTCCAGTGATGAATCTTAATTCTTTTTTTTACCTAATTGTGCACTATTTCCCGATGAAAACGTGATCCAGATATCGTCATCTAAAGAAAGATGATCTTGATATCTCTGTGTAGAGAAGGGAAAGAAAGCAACAAAGCTGAATATCTTTTCCAGTTTTCATCTGATGGCTTTGATGCTGTGAAATCCACAATCTTGTGCTTGTGTAAGGTGTGGCCCTTCCTCCAGAAAGCCTTATAAAGATATCTAGGTTTTGTCCACATTTTCCCTTTGTGACCCACTGTCTGCCTACTTAATACAGTTCTTCATTTTCAAACATTTACATTTGAAACCCAGCTCTTTACTCATGTGAAACACTGGTGTTGAAACAATTAAGCCATTTTTCAGTGTAGTCCTTTATTGACTGGGGAAACATAACTTCTAGGGTGAGGTATTTATAATGTAAGTACCCTGTTTTCATAAATGAAAGAGCGTCAGTTCTGAGACTAAGAGGTTATGTAGTGGTAACCCTTTAATGAATTTAAAATAGGCCACCTTTTTGTTTTTTGAATTGCACTAGAGGCACTGAGTGGTCTATTCTCATCATCTGCTCTTCTTGTGTTCTTGTGTAATACAATAATTCGGTGTCTTGTATAAGGTATGTTCATTCTTTAGAAAACCAGAGTACTGAATTAATCCTTTAAAACAATTAAAGGGGAGCTACAGTACTAATTTCTCAGGCTTTCTATCAAAAAACAATTGACAGTGTTGCAGAATTTTACGAATTTCGAATAAAGTGCAAAATGGTGAACGTTGTGAAAGTTCTGTATGGTTGCCATGTTGTCGCAGGCAGGCAAGAAGCTGCTGCTCTCTCTCCACAGACAAGAGCAAGAGTTTGCTCAAATTGTGACGTGACAACATAAATCTTTTTTTGTCTTTTTGAACTTGCATATATATATTTAGACGATGCCTCAGTGTCAAGCATTTGGCTGTTCAGAACATAATGGATGCACACAAAGCAGAAGATCAGATCAACAGAATCTGAATCAGAATCACAAAGTCAAACTGTTTCCTTTGCCAAGGGATATTCAACTAACAGAGATCAGTAATAAACCTGGGCACTGATGTTGGTCCCATCGATACGTTTCATGACACAATCCAGTGTGATGTACGATCGAATAAGTACAGGTTGTGCAGCAGGCATTTCAGCCCAGAAACGTTCGTACATACATGATCTGCATGCTGAGTTAACAAGTAGTATTTATCAGCAAGACTGTCTCGAAGTCGATATGTTGAATTCAGTTCAATTGCACTCATTCAAATCGGCTGTTCAGGCGATGGCCCTGGTGTAGCGAGTCCTCCAAAAATATAAATCCTGCTCGATTTTTTTCTTTTAGATGTGATTTCCTATTAAAGCAACCACAAATGTAAACGATTGAGCACTTTGCAAAACTTGAAAAAGGAATATGAGTGTATTTTAGTGGGTGGGCATGTTGTTCTTTATTTTGGAATAAAGTATTTAAATACGTAAAAACGTGTCTGCTTGTTCGTGCTGGTTTCGTGAAAATATTTCAAATGAATGTAGCAGCAAAATCTGCCCCTTTACAGTGTAATCAGGCCATCACTGGAAGTTCTGTTGCTTCATTCTGAATGGCAGAAAATGACGGCAATATGGCACGCATACATTGAAACTTTTTTTCTCTTTTGTGGTGCTTTATGAGAAATTGTACACTTTACTGTGTACTTGGTAGTTTACTTGTGGTTTGAGTGCATTAATCATTGCTGATTCATTATAAACCCAAAATACAAAACGAGCATCGCAGTTTCCCTTTAAAAGTATGTCACTAAAAGCCTTGATGCTGAGAGACGTAGAAAGGCAGATCTGCCTTTGCATACAAATAATCTGAGGAAGTTAAACACTGTAGCATTTCCTTATGCCCAGTGTATTAAATGAATTGACTTTAATTTCCTTCCCTTAAAAGAAATATGAAAAGCTGTCCTTCAGACACGTATCTGCCAAGAATAGTCCTTTGTTAATTTAGATTGCCTTCAAATCGAATAATAATATAAGTTTGTATTCTAATGTGATTTTTTTTTTACATTTTGGAGTATGGACAACCATTTTCATTTGATTACCTTAACTTTTTTTTTATTATTCTGCAGTTTTTTTTCTTATTTACTTTTTTATTTAAAAAATACAAATGGATTTTTTACAAAAACTGGAGGTCCTTCAGTACTGGTGAAACTGAATCTAGATAAGCTTTCATTCTAAAGAATACTTTACATACTAAAGATTGAGGCTTGATATTATTAATGTCCGTATATTGACTTTGCCGTTGATACATCACAGAAAACAGTTTTTCATTTCTAGAACACAAACCCTACTGTGCAGGTTTAATAAAGTAAATAACACCCTGTGAAGGAACTTAAGGTTTACTGTAATTACATAGTTTCGCAACAAGATTCACCAAAATCTTTTAAGTGCCAATTTTCCAAATTATTATTATTGCTATTTATTATGTTGCTGTTACATATTCTTCTTCAATTTCAGCAGTTCTGGAGTCTGGCTGAAATATGTGTATATGTTTTTGTACATGTAATATGGAAACCTGTGTCAGTGTTGCACTACTGTACTAACATTGCAATGCCTGCAACTTTATGCTCTTTTAAATCCAGTTAGTATTTGTCATTTGTCATTTGACTGAATACCTTGTGAAAACAACCAACTGCTTGAAGCTACAGAAAGGCATATTACCTCCAAGGCAGACTCAAGACATGAAATACACTTGACACATTTTAGTGAGAATGCTTTAAGGAAATTAATGATGGTGTATTTTTAAGCTTGTTTTTGGAAGCTTGGACAAAAAAAAGAGGGTTTTATATTTTTGTGATGCATCTAAACAAGGCTGGTATTTACCCACTGTTATAGAATAATCATCTTTGATGTTAACTTTTAAAATTTAACAATAGCTAAACAAATCAAGTTCTGGCAACATTTACCTTAACCATCGACTCCTGATGAAGGTACCCAGTTTGTTTTAGTACACTTAACATGGGTTTCTGCTTTCCCTAGCCTTTCCTTTTGAAGCTGTTTATATCAAATGTTTGCATCAAAGTTTATCATATGACTGTAAGGAATACTTAACTACTCCTTCTATTCGTTGCTAGAAAAACATTTGGCTGTGGAATTTATGACACCTAGTTACTTTTGTACTAGTGGCTGGGGATTGGAATACTTTTTGGGGGCTGTTATCTGTTATCTACCTGCAACTTCATGAGTACTGCTAATGTAGAGAAATAAGCACCATGGTTTACAATGTTCACCTTGCGTTGTGTATATATATATAAAGTATTCACTCTGCTATATGTTTTAAATTTTATTCTGTTAAAAATGGCTAATTAAAAACTCCATAACTGAATATTAATATCCCCCTTCAGAAAGTTAAATGGATAAAATAATTTAATTTTTGTTCTGTATCTCACAAGGAAATATATCATTTCATCTTTTAACACTTTTAACACTAGTTACTGAATAACTGACTTCAAGAGGTGTTATTTTTAAATTAAATTAAAATATTGTATTTAATTCAGTGTCATAAATCATTCTTTTTTAAGAAAGGAGGGACGATATCTTAAATATTCAATGTTGTTTTGTAGCAGGCCTATGTATCAAACCAGTGCTCATTTGGAATATGTATTTGCAAATTATATTTGCAATAATCTGAAAATTAAAGTCACATTTAAAAAAAAGTTCTGGCAGTGAACAAACTTGTTAGACATGGAAAATTGATAACCCTGTTTTTGTGCCTGGAACTGGAATATTTTTGGGACTAGTGATGGTATGAGGCTTCCTTTATAGAATAATGAATAAACATATTTGACTGTGAGTTTCTGGTTAAAAAAATGTGTATGCTGTGAAATACCATAAATTCTACATTAATTTGAAGTGCATTCACATTAGGTGACACGAATGTAATGGATATTTTATAGCCGTGAGAAAAAATTCTTAGTCTGGAGCTTGTCAACACCACTGACATTGTAATCCATCATTTAAGATAAATCTTTCTGTACTAAAACCAATAATGTCACTATTGCATAAAAATATGCCTACAGACCCTGAATAGTTATTTTTCACTCCTTATTTTGGAAATGTTTACAAAGAAAAAATTTTAATAGATACAATTGTGGCCATTGTCAGTTTTTTTATGTAAATCTGACAGCTTCTTGAATGTCATGCAGGAAATAAATCAGATATGATTTTAATAATGAAATCTTTATTTGCTTTAATACTCCATTATTTTATAAACAAGAATTGACTTGTTCAAAGTCACTTTTCAGTCACACCCAGTTCAGGGTATCAGCTAGTGCAGTCATGTTCTTGAAACCAGATTGACAATAAGTCTGTCATCATTTTATTTATATGGCTAATTTTAAATGAGACATATATATATGTGAACATGTGATAGAATATTAACATTATATAATTATAAACAGCAGAACTTCAAAAGATCACTCATTTGTTTTGGAAAGTGGAACTTAAAATGTGAGGTTTGTTCTCTCCCTTCTCAGTTTATTTTCCAGAGTGAAAGATGACAGATTAAAGATTCTGAAACCAAAGGTTTTAATTACAAAATGTCCATTTTCTTTATATATATAAATTATATTTTAGTTAAATTTATAAAATGTAAGTCTTCATTAAAATTATTTTCAGTATTTTGTTCATAGCTTAGTTTAAAGGGCAGGGATGAGACATACATCAGAGGTTCTGACTCTCTGTGGTCATTAAAAATCCCAGGGTGTTTCTTGTATCTAGTATACATTTATAGGGAGATTACCTTTTATAAGTAGTCTTCCTATAAAAGTAAAATTAATGTTCATTTTACTTCATTGCAATTTGGTCTGAAGCAGCAAACGTAAGACGTAATCTTTTATCATATAATGATTAAGTTAAGAAAATAAATTTTAAGCAACATGAATATCACAGGGCTGATAGGTTGATTTTTAAGAAGCTATCTGTTTTGTTTCTTGAATTCATGGCAGGTAGCCTGCTCTTTCAGTTTTTCTTTTGGTAAAGGGTCACGTTCTTTTCCGACAATGTCATATTGAGGAAATCCAATGAGGAGGAAGGAGATGTGTCAAACATTTTTAGAATACACAAACAGCTGTTGGAAAACATTTCTTCTGAGAAATGCCTGGAGAAAAGGAGAACTCCATTATTACACCAAAACATACTCAAAAGTTCTGTGAAACCTTTAATCATCAATGGGGGAAAAAGGAACTTTACAGCAGAAAAGTGAAACAACTTTAAAAAACAAAAGTAATTACGAAGGGCATTACATTCTGCAATACATTCTGAGTTTATAAAAATTAACTAATCGATTATTTTCTTAATAAAGGGCATTTGCTTCTGAATGTTTGTACAGTTCACTTTCTCTTGACATGACTTACAATACTGTACATAGCCACCTTCTGCTTAGATGCTTAGATTTACAGTTTCATATTTGTGTGCATGTTTAGTGTCTATATATTTAGACTTACTGTAAGTTAGAGTGACCAAGAAGCTAAAATATTTGATTTTTTTTACTTTATCAATGGTCTGGATGTGGCAATGTGTGGTAGGTCTTAGGAAATATTAAGGAAAAAGGCCCTGAGGACAGACTACACAGGTTTCAGGGCAGCACTTGATCTTTTATAGAAATTGCCTTAAGAAGAGTTGAGATGCCGTACTGGAAAACACTACTTAGAAGAATAATTGAACTTATTCTCTCTGCATTCCCCTGCAATCTGAAATTCATTCGACATCTGCTTCGTCTTCGTAATTCTGACAGGCTCCAAACTCCTTCTCCGGTAACAAGCCATACTCATTCAAGAAAGACTCCACATCTACTGCATAAAACTCCTCATTCAGATGCTTTGTGATGCACAGGAAATTGCCCAGAAGCTCTCCTGCCTTGTACACCAGCATGGTGGGCAGCACACTGTCTGAGAAGCGATCACCTGCCCCAGTGTTGGAGGCTTTGATCTTGCAGAACCTGACGGTAGGGTATTCTGCAGCCAGGCAGGAAAGGCAATTGTTCAAAGCATCACAGCCTTTGACTTTGTCTTCATAGATGTGCACCACCACCACCGTTAGCCTGTGCTCCTTCTCAATGGTCTCCAGGAACTGCTCTCCGCTCTCCAGCTCATACAGGGAACCAAACCTGGGGCCAAAGCTCAGGCGCTGATGCATCTCTTGCATGCACTGCTTGCGATACTTGCGGAGGCAGCTTTCATCCTCATCCTGGATCAGCTCGTACTCCTGCACGCTCATCTGTGGAGGAGAGGTTAACAGTGGCCTAAAGGTCCTGCAAAGGCGGAGTGAGAAAGTCTGGCCCTTTCATGTTTAAGATGATCACGGCACATATATTGAAAGAAATGAGACTTGCGTCTCTGATCCTCTTCTCAGCTCTAGAACATGATTTGTCTCAACGTATGCAATACCTTAACATGTAACTCATTTGAAGTTCAGACATGTACACCGAAAGAACACACTGCAGTGTTACACATAGATACAGTATGTACCAATTAAATATGTTTGGAGCAAAACGGGACCACAGGAAACCACCTCCACATAACTGGATTACCCTCTTTCACTGTGAAGCTAACATGATGGCCCTGTATTATATTAATCCTGTTTAATGAAAGGATTCAGTCATTGGGAATATGAATTTCAAGAGCTTTATTAGTCATAATTGTTTTTCTAATAGCAGACCTATACCTATTATGGATGTGTGGAGGATTGCAGTTGGGTTCACTGTCAATTTAAATAGGATTTAACAAACATTTGAGGCTTAAGTGCACTTAACAAAAGCCCCATTGAATACTGACTAATAAAAAGCACTTGAAGTATCCAAGGCTTTGTAAAATTACCGTGTGTGCACCTTTCCATGTAAGAACCGGGATTTATTTGGGTTTTTATCCCAAAATGCAATTTTTCTGTCATACTTTTTCTTTCAATCAGCAGAGTGCATGATAGGAGATCTTTTCTGCTGCTTAGCAAGCTATGGTATACTCCGTTCCACATGTGTTTGTATTTGTAATCTCCAACCTTGCGGTTCAGTTTCTCCCGAGCTTCCTCTTCCCGGTTGGGCTTGTAGGGAGAAGACATCTGCCGGAGGAGCTCGCGCTTGCTGGGGGGGATGGACTCCTGATCCTCGCTCTCCAATTTGAACTTCCTCCAGTCATTGATCACTCCCTTGGGTCCTATAAATATTATTCCACATAGACTGTTAATCCCCCAGATCAAATCCACAGACAAAACAAGTCAACAATACACAGAGGCCCTGTTCTGTATGAATACTTGCAGTGAATTGGAGTGACGTCCAAATATTATTAACGCAGAGGAGTTCTTTCTGAATTAACAATAAAAATACAGAAATGGTGATATGGTGAAACTAAATTGAAGTCAGCCCCGCAGGCTATGACCTCCATTTTCCAAGTATACCTTGAAGTTACTTTATTAATTATTTTCGGAAAAAGTCTGTTAGTTTGCATGTCTTGTCATTTCAAGTTGATTCCCGACAAAAAAAAATGCAGAGTCCTCCAATCTACTTGACAGTTACTTGAAATATTGTTTAAACGTCAGCAGAATAGGCAGAATTTTGCTGCCTATAAATTCTATCCAGTATGTATCCAGTATGTGTATATCAAACTTTACGTTTATATTACTGTATTTTTTTTAATAATAATTTGTAATTTATGAAGAATGTTGTTCCACATATTGAACTAGCTACTAGAAAAATCAAATGTATTTAAATTATTGGTGTTAATTTGAAAAGCGTGGTGAAATGGAAGCAGTTGCTTTGGAATAGGGCGGTGTGGCGGCTCTGTGGCTAAGGATCTACACCTATGGCTGGAGGGTTGCCGGTTCGTATCCTGCGGCCGGCAGAGAAATCCTTCTCCATTGGGCCCCTGAGCAAGGTCCTTAACCCCAACTTCTCCAGGGGCACTGTATACAGTAAATGGCTGACCCAGTGTAGCAGAACTAGTTTGGCCACAGTGACAGAGCAAGCTGGGGTATGCAAAAAGACTAATTCCTGATACAAATTGTATATGGGCAATAAAGTTATCTTATCTTATCTTTTACCTCAAGGTGACGAGAAGCTTTTTTGGTGGGATTTAAAAAACAGAGCAGTACAGGACTCCCAAGTGTCTCTGCCAGCACAGGTGCTCACTCAGAGCACATGTTGAACAGCATTACTTGCGCATCACTGGCCAGAGTCTGGATCAGCCATTCACAGAGCACTGTGTGGGTATATCCAGGATCCCTAGGGTGAATCTATCACTCCTGTGACTCATCAAGCTCCTCTAGGCTCCTGCAGTCAACCCTAGCTGTAAGGTATCATGGAGTTTTTTAAGTGTCTAAAGACAGGCGTGTCAGAAAAGATTGTCTACAATTCCTCATTCCTAAACCTGCTGTGTGGGCGTTGTGACTATGAGGCCAGCCAGAAACAACTGGTGATTTCCAATGTAAGGAAAGCCCAGTGCAATCCTTGCAGATGTCAATAAATTGCTAAGATGCATGAGGTCAATTTTTTCCTTGTGGTTAAACTTCTGAGATTTATTCGCTATATAGGGAGCAGCACAGGATCTTTTACTCGTTTCTGAATCTAACCTACTCTTTAATCTGTCTCATTGGCACTTGGCTTCTTCAGACCTCTCTTTACCTGTGTTTGTTGCAGGCAGTTCCTCTAAGTCTTCCTCCACACTGTGGCCTGACATTTTTGCAGAATGATCTGCAAATGATGAAAGAGATGAAGGGGTTTTAATACAAGCCCAAGCTGCACTGAGTGTGGGAAGACGGAAACCTCTTGTTTGATTGTTCATTTTTTGTTCGCTTTTGTTTTCCCTCAACAGTTGCATCCCCCTTTAGTAAAGAGCTCCATTCAGTTTATTGCAACACTTCAAACAATGTGCCGCCTACCGTCATGTTTTCGCTTGAGATCTCTAATGCAGCTTCTACAATCCAAGTTTTTCTTTCAGGTTCATCTTAAATGTCACCTCATAATAAATTCTCTGTTCCTTATCATTCAGTCATATTAAGTCTCTACATTTTGTACGTGATCCTATTCATCTGAAGAAACTACAGCACTGATAATCAGCTTTTTGTTTTTGTTTGTAAGAAATGAGAAAAGATAATACTAGCCCTACCTGTCCTCTGGAGAGCAAGCATGTCTACTATCATATGTTAAATCTGTAGCTAAATGTCATATCAAACATCAAAAGGTCTTGAGTGAATGATAAAAAACAAAATTGGAAAGTTGTTATGTACAGGCATTTGTACCTCTTGAAAACATTTGGAAACAGGTTAAATAGGACTAATTAGGATGATGCAATCATATGATGAACTACAGGCATGGGCTAATTTAGCATGTGTTATGTGACGAAGGAAGTTGTCTTCTTCACTCAAGGCAATCTGGGTTGATGTGGTATTAGAGGATTAGCTTAATACCTAATTTGTTTCATTGGTTTGAGTGGAATTTGTACGTGTGGCTTCCTTTCAAGTTGTAGTGAAGTGAAAAGGGAACTTTTAGAACTACAAGGTCCTGCAGTGAAGGTGACTAAGTTCTGCACTGAGGCTTGAAGAACAGAGTAGAGCTTAATACAGGGTTAGGTTAGCGTCCAGTGTCTCAAAGACAAGACTGAAAAGAAGACATATGGTAAAAAGGGACTTGGAAGTAGCATTTTATCCATTACTCCACTTCATAAAGATATCTTCAGTGTCAACATAATTAACTATAATATTGACTAGGTTTGTAAATACCACTACAGTTACTCAATCTGCTAAACCTTACAGGTACCATATAACTAAGCAATGTCATGTTCTTTGTATATTGACAATGGAACCACTGTCTTTTCCTCAGTGCAAGTAAATATGGATCTGAAGTAAATTCCAAACGCTACATTTCTTGGACATTATCTCAAGAATATCAGCGATATTTAAGACATTTTTAGCTCTGAAGTAGAAGTCAGGTATGAGCTGTTGTTAGTTGCTGCTGTTAGTTGTTGCAACATTGACAGATTTTGTATTTACAGTATATAAAGAATTTAACCAGTTTAAGATGTTACAGTATACAGTATATTGTCCAGGCTATCCTTGCTATCAAATACTATGGCACTACATGTGAAGAGCTCAATCATAATTAGTTTTCAGAAATATATAGGCTTTGTGTTATTAATCTAGTTTCAGGGGAAAAAACCTAGTCACTGTAAAGAGGTCAGGACATAGTCAATGCAAAATACAGCTTGTGTTCAGCTATAGGGCAACTCTTTCACTGAACAGCTGTGACTCTGAAAATGATAAACAAAATTAATATAATGACTTGCATTCGCTGTCACTGTGGCACATTGTATAATCCTCTGTGCTGTTTACAAAGTAAACCATATAGGCTGAAAGGCTACTGTTATTACTCTTTATTAAATGTGTGTCCTCACTGTCATCACTACTCTGGTTGCAAGCTCTGAGTTCTAATCCTGACTTTCTCATCCCTGTATCACTGGCAAGCTCGTTGTCAGTTTTTTGTCCCAATTACATCATGACAGTTTTTGAGATTTGAAGTTGACATGGCTGACTTCTTTATGCTGTGAGTGAGTACAGTGCAGCAGGCTGGAAATGCTGCATGGAACGTCCCAAAATGCAAAGAGTTAAAACATGTTGGCAGAAAATGGAACATCACAATAAGCTAATAAAAAGTGGCTAATCAGCACTATTCAAAATACTATCACATGTGCAGCTGTATAGTTGCCAAGGTAAACACACAGCTAATTGTAAAGCATTCTCAGTGTTCCCAATAGAATATACTTGACAGTACAAACTAGACTGTAAGGTGACTGTAACCTTATGTGATATGTTGATAGAGAAAATTCAATGTAATTATATATGTAGACATACAGAGTGTTTTGCATATCCATGCTCATATTCTTGATATATAATTTACATAAGGGTTACCATTCCATATAAAGGACTTTGAAAGCGGAGCTATGTATCTGAAGCCCATTATCCTAAGGGAATCACTTCCTTCATTTTAGCAGACTAAAACTTTATATAAAAATAGGCATCTTTGTATTGAACTCTATTGAAAAAACAAAAACGATAACATGTTCACCTTCATTTATAAATGTTTTGATATTTTAACTGGCTCAAAACGTAAGACACACTCTCATTGCTAGAACTGATGCTACAAGGATCAAACAAAAATGCAGTACAGTTAAGAGACACTTCTCCTAGGTTTCCAGGTTCAATTGTTTAAGATAAAGATAATAGAGATGATAGTAAATAATAACTGCTGCAGCATCCTAATTCTCTTAATTTATTTAAAACAAAGGTCATCATAGCATAAATAACAGGCATGACATAAATTCAACTGTATTTCAAACAATGCAGAAAACTGCTGTTTAAGAAACAAGCTACAGTTTTTTCAAGGTAATTGGTAATCAATGAGTGAGACTCTTACCTGTGAGTTTAACTTTCCCTTGGTCAGTTGGATAGTTGCCTTTCTTGTGCTTGTGGTCACCTGTCCTTTGGGTTGTCCAGGAGAAGACAAAAGCACACTGTGGATTTCTAAGTAAGACCAGATGGGCTTTGTCTAAGATTTAGTCTTCCGGATCATGGTGGCCTTCTCAGAAACAGCTCAGTGTGGGTAAGAGGATTGCTACTGAAGAATTAGCGACCTGCGCTCAATGAAAATAGCCAATCAGGATTCAGAGGCTGAGAGAGTTAGAGGATGGGATCGAGTTTGGATCCAGACAATAAACTCCATCATGAGGCAAAACTGATGAGCTGCTTCACTTTCCAGGACAATAGAAAATCTGAAGGAGAGGCATCTCTGCACAGTTCAAAGTGACATTCAAGGACACTGTTTGCTGAAATTTACTCTTTGAAAGATAGTCATTCTAGAGGTAGTACTATTTTCTGTGTCGGTACACCTGAACAAATGTGCCCAATTTCTAAGTTAATCAAAAAATTCAAAAAGGACACTTTTTAAGATTGAATTTGTTTTTTTTGCGGTCAAATGAGGCTTAGTCTACCTTTCCCAAAGGCTCATTGAGACATGACGACACCCCCCCCTTCCTAATTGCCTTTTATCACCTTTCTTGCAAGTTGAGAATGTGACAGTGATGTCATGGATGCTGTCCTTGTCAGCTTTGAGACCTGGACATTTGTTGGAAGAGCTGGGATGACATGACAAGTCTAAGAGACCAGCAAACAGGCGCATACTTGTCCATGCTCTACAGGAGAAATTGAACAAAATACCATAAGACAGCATATAAAACATGGTGCAAGGCATGCATTGCAGATAATCGCCTTGTATTGCTTTCAACAGGGGCTATGCATGCTAGTAACTCTCACAGTAGTTAAGCTCTTGGTTAAACCATAATGGTTACAAACATTAATCAACATAACATATTTGCACATATCAGTGCAGTAGAAGTTCTGTGAACCTGCTACAAAAAAGTTTGTCATTTTCTAATAATAGATTTGCCAACTTGTTTCAGTTGTAAGTGATAATTTCCTGTGATACTCAGTGTATTTTTGGATACTTCTGCAAACAGTGCACAGAATTCAAAGTATTGAGTGTCAGCACTTATTTAAAAATGTCACCAGTTAAATTCTGATTAACCGCTGAGGTGTTGAAATGTAGTGCCCACCATGCCTTTGCAGATTCAGAAGGAGTTCTGTGGCAGTTGGGTTTGACTGCAGTAGGTGGAGTAGTTGGAGGCTTTTACTACAGACCCATGTAGAAAAAAATCAAATATTTTGACACCCATAAACATGAATCTATTTACGTCTTAAGTGTCTCTGTAAATACCACCTACAACATACCTTTTAAGCCCATGGCATTCTTTTTCAACAGTTTTTTTTTTTGCAGTTACTTGTTTTTAGCAAAAGGTAATTGTCAGTTAGCTGAGTTACTGCTAAGGGTTTGAATGGTATGTTTCTTTTTTGTCCTACAACCCCACATCTGTCAAAACTCATTTGGACCAGCCAAGTGTCAAGTGACTGTCCTTAGGTTTCAGAGTAAATGCAGTTGGTCTCTGCCAAAATAACAACACTAATCCCCATGAGGCAGCTAACAATATTAACCCTAAGAATGCACAAAATGAAGAAAGAGTATGGAAAACTGTATTCTTTTCTTTATTGCCACACAACAATAGTTGGTGTAATTTGCTTTCGGTACAGCAAAGAACACAGATGAGACATACAGTACATTTAACATTTACAGTATAAATTTAATAGGACAGAAGACAAACAAACATCATCACATACACATGTAAACAACTCTCCATGTAGCAGCAGAATTATACAATGAAATTCAGAGTTCAATGTGAATGCAAAATTCGTCTGGCAGTGGGAAAGCAGCTGAGGTTGAAGGGGGCAGTCCTTGAGAGGAAGGATTTGAAACTTTTTCCAGAAGGGAGAAGCTGAAAGAGGTTATGAGCTGGATGAGAGGGATGTGAAATGATTTTATTGGCACGATTGGAGGTGCGACTTGAGTAGTGAGATGAAATAGAAGGGGGTTCACAGCCAACAATTTTTGGACACAACTTTGGACACAATCTTTTCCAGTATGCCTTTAGAGTAGTTATCCAAGCTCCCATACCAGACTGTAATAGAGGTTGTCAGAACACTTTGGATTACGGCTGTGTAGAATTGAAGGAGACATTGCTGGTTCATGGCTGGTTCACATTGCTGTGCTTTTTCGACGAAGTGGTCAGTGTTGGTTCTGTCACGCCCTCTGCAGCCAGAGGGTGCTCCTTCTCTGTCCTGTCCCTAGTTTCCTGCCTGCTGTCCTTCCGGTCCCTCTCTTTCCCTTGGGCTATATATTTCTGGGTCTTGCACTCTGCCCTTGCTCAGCATTGACGTTCGGATGTCCTGACACCCGCCTAGCACCAGGTCGCCCCACGTTCACTACCTGGGGGCATTGGTTTCTATACAGCATTCCTGAACTCTTTGCATTAACGAGCCCGGGCCTTTTTCTTGTCTTGCCGCTACGCATATCGGTCTTTTTCCACTCTCCTGCTCTCCACGGTTAGTCCCTTTGGATGTCCGTGACAGGTGCTCCATTAAAGATCTCTATTTATGTATGTACCCCAAAATTTAAATTTAAATTTAATTTGTGTTCTGGATGCGTCAGAAGTCACTGATGATTTCCCTGGTTTTAGAAGCAGTAGGAGATCGTTGTCCAAACACCAGGCTGTTAACCAAGTCAATCTGCTTTCGGTAACAAGTCACATCATTATTCGAGATGAGACGAACAATGGTAGTGTCATCTGCAGATTTAAAAAGGTTGACAGAGTCATCCTGAGATGTAAGGTTGTTTGTGAAACGGGAAAAGAGCCATGGAGATAAGACACAGCCTTGGGGAGCACCTGTGCTGAGAGGCAGAGGGCAAGATGTCCTGTTATTCACCCTGACAGTCTGTTGGCGATGTGTTATAATGTACAGAATCCAACGACACATAGCAGGGTTGATGTTCAAGTCCGTCAGTTTACTGAATCATTTATTATTAATGTTATTAATTGGATTAATGATATTGAATGCTGAGCTGAAATCCCCCCAAAAAAGGATGCGGACATAGGAATTTGGCTTCTCCAAATGCTGGAGTATACAATGGAGAGTTAATGGTTAATGGCATCTTCAACAGACCTGTTGAAACTGCCGTTGTTCATATAAAAAGCATTACCCATGATGGCAATATGTAAATTGAAATTTAATGACCAGATTTTTAACTTCAACTTTCAAAATATGTCTTTGGAATAGATTCTGCTGTTTCATTCTATCCTGATTTTGAGTCAAATTTCCAGGTGTCTCCAGAATTATGACAGAATAGTTGTAGTTTAGTTTTAAGAAGGACCTCCTGTAATTGCTGGGTACTACCATAGAAACAGGTAAATGTTATTTTCCTCCTTGCCTGAGTAGCTCAGGATGATGTACTATAGCCTGGGGCAGAGTCAGAATACAGATTTTTTTTTTCTGTGGCTTTCTCAATGCCAAATGCTTGTCTCATGCCTAGCCCCAGAGCGTAGTGCTTTGAAACAAATTCTCCTTGTCCTGCAAAAGGAATGTAAGTGTTTGAAACACCTTTTCTTGAAGCTTCCGGAACTGTCACAACATAAAACCAACCTTGACAACACCTGGCTGCTCAATGAGTTTTTGGGTACTGATTACCTTGATGATTGTTTCCTTAGTAAGTGCAGATTTGAAAAGATTTCTCAGATGTTAAGCAAGGTCCTGGAATGGACCACCAAATTATTTTTTCTCCTGAACTGCCTGCCAGTGTGTTTATGCACAATCACTATTTTATTATAGATAACCAGGGCTTGCATCATGCATTAAGGTGCGAGTTAACTCAATATGAATAATTAATAATCTTTTGCAGATGTTTATCTACACACAGATTAAAGTTGAAATGGTTAAAGCTTCTCATTCTAAGCACTGCATTGTTGTGTTTGCTTGTGAGTATAAAACAGTGCAAGGCACACAAGCTGTGAATTAAATAGAAGTCTAAGTGTTCCCAGTAAAATATACCTCATTTGTGTAGAACATACTGTAAGAGTCCAAACTAGACTGTAAGCTGACTGTAACCTTATTTAATGGATTATACATAGTATGTAGACATATAGTGTTTTGAATATCCACGTTCATATTCTCGAAATGTACCTAAGAGTTATCATTCCATATAGAGGACTTCTATGAAAGCAGAGCTGAGCATCTGAAGCCCATGACCCTAATGGGATCACTTCCTGTGTTTACTTTTCTTTCTTCTTTTTAGTTAACTTAAGCTTTAAAGAAAGAACTAGGCATCTCTATCAATCTAAAACTATAATTCAGTATGAATCGAAACTATCTCTTACTATGATGAATGAATGGAGTAATACATCTAGAAGAGATATATTTTCAGATATATCAAATATTGTCAAATAGTTTTAAAAGCCATATTTATTACAGTTTGTAAATAGGCTTCCAGATCTCAAGCCTACTGTATGTATTTTGTATTGTGAGAAATAACAGGATGTCATAAGATGTCTGCATGTGTGAACTTGTTAACAAGTGAGCTTTATATTCTAGCTTATTAAAGTAAACTGATCTGCAGTTTAAAGTTGTTCAAAACCACGTTGCTTATTGAACCAGAGTACATGCAATGGAAAAATACTTTTAAAATATTTAAATAATACTCCATGTATTGCATGAAGAACTGCTGGTTTGTTTTCGATTTGAAATTGTGTTATTTTCTTTGAAAAATGTTTTTTTTTTTTAGCATGCATTCAGTGATCATTCCTTTCAGCTAATATTGCTGTCTTAACTCTTTTGGTAGACATGTGTCATTGCAAATTTTTTTAGCATTTTTTTATCATTCTAAAATGTTTATATCCGTAAAAGAATAATAAACACCCAGAAGATTTACTTAATTACTATAATATTTATATAGCATCTTCTCCCTCCCACACTTGGAAAATCCTTCTTTTTAAACACTCTTTTAGAGAAACACTGGAATCTTTGTCAAAAGTGGAGATAATGTTAGTCATAGAATAGTTTTTGTATGTATGCACAGTCTTTTATTTTGGATTGCATTAGGAGAGTGGAAAGTATAGGACCTACTGGTCTAAAC